AATTTCACATTAATATATCTTTAAGTTTCATGTCGTATAATTTTTTATACAGAATTATTTACCTTTGAAAGCTTCGGCAGATCATGCGTAGGATATTCCTTGATCATTCTCACCTTGCTTCTTTCACCTTTTAATCCACATATAACTCTATTTATTTCCACCAAGTAGTTCTGACTCCACCATTCTAATACTACATGCCGAGGAATTTTTTCATTTATTATATTACTCATTGGAAACGTTTTCAACTCGATTATTTCAAAAGTTTTGCCAATAAGCGTATCTGTTATAGGCTGTTGCGAAGAAATACCATCTATTTCTGCTCCATATAATAACGAATTATTGCCAAAGTTTGCTTTAAACATACAGTGAAATGCTTCGCACTCATTGAAAGGTACTGATAGATCTGGTTTATGTGATGGATGATCTAATAAAACATGTATAATTTAATTAGATTAATTAGATTAATTACATAAATTCAACAAGCAATCAATTTTATCCACTCTGTATATATATTATGAAATACCTGCTACCATATATTGCTCAAATTTAAATCCCCATGAAGAAACTTGTTTTTCTAACAGTTTTGTTGACCCAACGATGTTCTTTTTCATCTGTATAAAATTCGCATAAATATATTGTACCACGGTATCGTCTGGCACAAATAATCCATTCATCAAATTTCTTATATGGGCTATACAATATTGTTTTTATTGTCCCTCGAGAACTAATAAAATCGATATCCAACCTAATTAATGTTATCTCTGATTAGGTAAAAATGAGTACTAAAAGTAGATATATTGTTAATAATGATAAATAATAAAATTGCAAAAATAAATTGATTAAACGTTACATAAGTAATGTGTACAAAATGTACATATGCTATCTACACAGAATTTTCTACGTTATAGAATATAAATAGAATATTATATATATTTTAATGTCACTGCGTGACATTAAAAGTTTTATACTTAAATGATAACAATTTTTATGAACATATACCAACGTTCTTCCTGTGCTGATAATGGCTTTTCAATTCGATGAAAATTATCGGCAATCCACCTCAAAATATTATCCAGTTTAATATACGAAGTAGACTTGTGACGTGTAGACATATAATTTATGTTGAGATCGAAATTCACGTTGTCAGGATCCGAAGGGGGAATATAATACTTTAGTTGCGACAAATCGGTATGATATTGCGAATCACCATCGATACTAAAATATCCGATTAATTCCGTGCTTAAGGAGGTTCTACAGATAATGGATGTATCTAAAAATTGGAAAAAACTTTATGGACGTATAAATTGAGATGCGAGAAAAGTGCTCGAAAAATTTTAGCATCGGTTACCGTGTAAAAATTTGCAAAAATGAATTTTGAAATCACAGTTTTTAACATAAGCTACATATGGCAGAGGGGCTCTTGGAGACAGGAAACGAGATATTAATTATATAAAGGCGACCTACCAAAGATTCAAAAAACGGAGCTCTTATAGATCTTAATCTAACCTTTTCAGAAATATCGAGAAAAACAAGGGTTATCGCGTAAAATTTTGTGATATTGGCTATTGAAACAGGCCATATCACAGTTCACGTAGCGTGCTTCGAATAACAAGGGAGATTTGGCAATGTCGCAGCGACTGTACCCGCGCGAAAAGTGTACAACCAGTACAGCACCACAGTATGACAGCACCTCAAACTTAAGCACCTAACGTTTACGAGCGCTTACGGAGAAGTACTCGCTCTAGAATTATGTGAAATTGTGAAATAACCACGGTCATATGAGCAGAACTGTCAAGTTCGCGACGTTACCACATTTTCTTCCATTATAAGCCGCCAGAGTCAAACGAGCACTTACACGATATTTTTAATTATTCCTCGCTTCGACTAATATGGGTATGATATAAGCTCTAACGTCATCAAAATTCACGAAAATATTTTATGAATACTTAGAATCGACGAATTTGAAGATTTTCTCTTTATCTCTCAACTGACTAGAGAGTACCTGTAGAACCTCCTTAAAGTTGGAACCGTGTGGCTCAAAAAATTTGCAAAATCAATCTTAAACATCGTGACTCATCCTTAATTATCTCTACGGTAAAAAGTACAAAATTTTGTTGTACAAGAACGAAAATGTTCACTCGTTCACATGACGATTCGCGATACTGCTTGATACGGCTTGCACAAGGTATGTTGCCTATACTTTTTATACGAATCTTCGCTTTCTTTTTCTGCTCCAACGCCCAATGTACTTCTCGTTCTTAAGTGCAGGCATTTTTGGGAATTTCAATCAACACGAACAGAGAGAATGGGTCATGGGATAATCCCGAACGCCATTTTGGTACTTTCTACCATTCTTGCCGCGCATCGCGCAAATCTAAAGGTACAATTTCACGGAGCGAAGAAAAGCCAGCGTTTTACCCCCACTCCATCAATTTTCGTCAAGGTGGCGTTATGGCGTTATTGCTTAGCTAAAAAGTTCAACACGGTTGAACTTTTAGCGAAGCAACGCCGAACGCCGAAAACACGTGGTGACACAGAGAGAAATAAGTACACGTGGTGACACAGAAAGAACGAAGTTAAAAAGTTATAAGAAAGAAGTTAAATAATTATAGTATGACTGAAGGGACGGATAATTTTACATCGCCAGAAAATACAAACGAAGTTAGTATCTATATATTATACAGTACTAAGCATACTTATAGGTTAGGTTGCTTTTTATTTCTTATTTATTTAAGTAATATAAATTTATTTGTTATATTGTGTTAATTTGTATTTGTTATATTGTAGGAAACTCTATTGTACACCTGTGACATATGTGAAAATGTCATTCATAAAAATGAAGTAGATCTGCATCCTTGCTTTGAGGGATTTAGTCATGTTTATATA